ACCCACTTTAAACTTTAGAGGTTTCTCACATGACCTCGATGAACTTTGTTTATTCCACATAATTCCGTGCGCTTTAGGGTGTTTCACAAATCCGTTCTGAACTTTGAATATTTCTCACAACACCTCCTTACATGTAATTTGTAAGTAGATAAATTTTACGTAATTCGCAAATAGATGAAATTTTCTTGGGAGAAAAAAAATTCAAAATTTAGAGAAGACGATATGTTACGACAAATGATAAAATTTGGGATTTTCCTCTCAAGAACATTATAGTTATTTACAAATTATTGGTAGGCGGACCCAGTGAGAAAATGTTAAAGTTTGGAGTTGTGTGTGGCACTTCAAAGTTTAGGGGAGTTAAGTAATGTAAACAAATCTTATGATGGTTTTATGAAACACCCGCAAAATCGGGAGGGTTATGTGAAAATGAACCCTATTATCAAGTATTACGTTTTTTCTTCCTATATTGATTGATTTATTTTACAAAATTTCTATCTTATCTCGAATGGAACCGGGCCCCAACAAAAATGGTTCCAGGAGTTCAAGCTACAAAAAGAACAAATCCCCCTTGTATTCCTCCTCCCTAGATGGGCTAATTTCACATGGTCTCTTGAACTCTTGGAGGTATTTTACACTATTGAACTTTATTTTATCTTACTTAATCCTTCTAAATCCTTCTAAATTTTGGACGCCTCCCTAAATTTTCCCAAACTCAAATAATTTCTTTCCGAATCCCATACTTGAAATTTATGAATAACTAGATATTTTTGAGAGAAATTTTTAAAATTTATCACTTGTAACTTATCAGCAGCGCAACGTATCCCATCCTCTAAATGTTATGTTTTCCCCCCTCAATAAATTTATTATTTGCAAACTATATGTAAAGAGATCCAGTAAGTAATGTTCAAAGTTTAAGAGCGTTTTGTCAGATACTTCAAAGTTAGAGGGGTGACATGAGATAAACAAAGTTGCAGGGGTTTCGTGTAATTACCGCAAAGCTCAAGGGGGTTTCGTGAAATTAACCTCTCCCAAATACATACGATAGCTTTCTACACTTCAGTTTACTCGATTCCTTTCTCTCTCCTCTCTGCGAGCTCTGTCCCATAAAAGGTGAGCTCTCTCAAACCCTAATCCCCATCTTCATCATAAAAAACCTATCTTTTTCTCTTACGATGCTCTAGTGGTTAATATTTCATGCTGACTCTTATCACTTGGTTAATTTGGCGATCGAAGCGTATGCAATCGATGGATTTGTTTGTTTGTAGACAGGGATCATTTTTCAATTTAGTGTTAGATTCTTCATATGGGATTGTACAAGATTGTTTTTTTTATGTTATCGAATCAAGGCTCAATCTTGGGTTGTGCTGTTAGATAATTTGAACAAGGTAGTAGATTTATTAGTAATTCAACTATAAGTGTGATGAATTTCATTATTTGTTGATTTTCTGATATTTTCTTGATACAGTGGTGGGTTATATATACAAACACACGCATATATATGGTCAATAAATTTAACTGCACTCGTAAAACTCTTGTTTAGTTTTATTTTTTATTATAAATGGATCATATACCATTTAGACTGTTTTTATGATCTCTTATTTACATTATTGAAATTATTTCTTGCTTTATGTAGAGCAATGATAAGACTCTTCAAGATCAAGGACCAGAGGAAGGAAGAAGCTGCGAATGCGAATGGAAGAGCACCTGCAAAGAAACAAAGTGCAGGAGAATTGCGTCTTCACAAAGGTTAAGGTTTAGACTTAGTAGATAGTGTTGCATGGAAAAGGTCGATTGCATATATTGCAACAATTAGGAAAATCAATGATTTCGTTGTACTTGCTCTTATGGTCATACTTCGTGATTTTTTGAATCTTATAGTTAGTTTGTAACTGCTGTTTTGTATCATCTTTGACAACTTAAAAAAATTATGTGTGCATTTCATTATTGTTTGTTTATTAGAGTCATGTTAAGTGGTCTGATAGCCTTGTAAATCTTGTGGAGATTTTAAACCTTTTGAAGGCTATAACACCAGTTCTAGCTGAAAGAGTTTTGTATGGACATTCTGAAACTGCTCAGTTAACTAGCACATATCTTGTTTCTAAGCTGTGGCCTACGACATCTGCTTCTTGTATCGTAGGTTCTAAATATTTCCCTTTTTGCTACAATAATGAACGATTGATTTAACTCACCATCTCAAATTGAAAGGGTTTGAACTTTTTTTGGGAACTTTTTTTTTTGTAGTTTTTGTTTTGTTAAACAAAGTGTGTACCCAATATGATGTGATTATGCTTAAAAAGCTAAAATGGTATAACAGGCAAAACCTTTTGACTTTTATTTAGGATTTATTTGACTCCCATAGCATGTGCTTTTACTTTGTTGTCATCACAAGGTTTAGCGCATTATTCGGTCTTTAATTTTTTTTATTATGTATCCATCAGACTTAGATTTCCTTACACTGGTTAACTTAGGAAACTATTTAGTTTATATTATAGGGAGTAGTCGTCCCTAGCCATGAAGACAAATTATGGTACACTATGTTCTAATCATGAGATAATTCTTTCAATTATTCATGTATACATGGCACATGAAGTACAATCTATATAACTGCAACTATGTATATATTGAGTGGTCATATCAGGACCGGTAATGTTTCCAACTTATTGCTCCCCAAGATTCTTGTTCTATCTTATTTTTTACAGTTCTTGTCTTTCTTGATTTCCTTGCTTGTTGTCCACAATTAACTTTAATGTTGTAACTCAATGAAAAATTTTATGTTGAAACGATCAATGGCAAAATAATTAAATTTCGCATAATAATAACATCACTTTGTTGCTATGCCACTTGCAAATTTGACTGTGAGGTAGCCTTTTTCATCGATGCAAGCTACTTACATGCCATAGTTTCGGCTGTATTAGTTACACCCTTTTTAAAGTAATGTATTCTTTCTTGATCTAAGACTGGTCTGCCTTAGCATATTCCTGGGTATGGTGAAATAAAACTTTCTATGTTTCCCTTGGCGTATATTATCCTTCCACTTGGATTAAATAGTAATTTACGCCTCAAGTATGTAAAGATGTGTTTCTTTTTCTTTTTCTCTTTTTTTTTACGTAACTTTGTGCGCAATTTGTGCTAGATATTGAGGCTTGACTAGGTAGTCTTAACAGTTACATGCATGTTCTATCAGCAGATATTGACCGGTTAGTAGGATAATCTACCGGTTGCTTTTCTATTCAGTTTTTTTCTCAACAAAGTGCTCTGTACATGATTTTATTGCCAGTGGCAGGCCTTCAAAGTTTTCGTAGCAAAATGATTATTGTTTGTTTTGGTCTTCTGTTCGATTGTTAGTTTTGACTCATTTCACATACTAATTTTCCAGTTGGCATGGAAGATCTGTGATCCTGAAATTGATCACTGAAATACATGAATGAATTTTATGTCAAGCCTGGATCATAATAAAATAGGTTCTCCCCATTCTAACCATCTTGTGTTCACATTTTCCTTGATAACCTTTCTTTTGTCCCATTTTTGCAGAAACTGCTTATGGACTGGATAATTTTATTTTCAGTAATTCTGTGTAGGAACCTTGCTGTATTCACTATCTAGTCTCATGGTCAATGTGTCCAAAATTATATATTTTATCTCATGTATTAAGTGTATCCTAATGAGTCAAATTTAAAGCATTCATTAGTCATTTAATACACACAAAATTAGCACATTCGACTCCTTCCTAACTGACCTTAAATCGAAGACACTTTACATTCTTACATTTGAACATATTTGGTAAATCTTAAGGCTGATAGAACACCAGTTGGGATCAATTTTACAATCAAAGCTGCCTCTGACCTTCAAATATGAAGTGGAACTTATTCGATCATGACATTTTGACTTGGAGGATTAAGGTTATCGGTTTCTAGATGTAGAGAAGTGCAGATTTGAGCTTGAAGGGCATACATTTTGAATTGTTTAACTTGGAATTTCTGAGAGATTCATTTAGTTGTATATGTTTATTTTTGTTTATATTTTCACTCAGCAAAAAAGGCATTTCATTTTCTTATAACAGATCAAAAGTTTTTATTCCCTTTTGGTATTTGATTTTTGCAGATATTAGTGAGCTGAACTTACCAAAGACAACTACTATTGCTTTTCCCAATGGCAAAGATGATTTGATGAATTTTGAGATCAGCATTCGGCCTGATGAAGGATATTATCTGTAAGGGCCTGTTTGGTTTTTTTCCAGTTATAATGAAACATGTTTCCTTCACTTTTTGGTGTTTCCTTCACTTTCATGGAAAAGTGTTTTTTGGGTTTGTTTCGCCAAAAAAACATGGGTATAAGTAATTTCCACCATTTTCCTTAGTTTGTTTCAACTGGAAAAAAGAAGAAATCAATAGATGTATGAATAGATTCCCTCATTTTTTCTAGTGTTTTGTTCAAACAAAAAATAAATAAATAGAAACCTTGGTTGTGGTCACCATGGTGTGCTTACCACCCATATAGGACAAAATTGTTGCTAACATAAATTGAGGGTGAACATACCCACTATCACATAAAAATGGCTTGCAATGATACACCCAAAGACTATTTTAGTTAGTAATTTGCAAGATGTTTAAAGATTTGAGGGACTAATTTCAAAATATGATCATTTGAGGGAGTAGTTTCAAAATGTTAAAGATTTGAGGGACTAATTTTAAATTTGACGTAGTATCTACAAGATGTTTATAGATTTGAGTAACTAATTTCAAAATATTAACATTTAGGGAGTAATTTCCATATCTTTAAAGATTTGAGGGATAAATTTTTTATTTGAGGTAGAAATTTGCAAGATATTTAAAGATTTGAGGGACTAATTTCAAAATATGAACATTTAAGGGAGTAGTCTCAAAATCTTGAAAGTTTTGAGGGATCTAGCAACTGTAATAAGATATCGAAATGCTGAGGGGTCGTTGTGGTTTCGTCAAATCGCAGCAGCAAAGCAAGAAGTGAAGCAGTCACCCAAGAGTGAAATAAAGGAGAAGGAGAGTTTGAAATTAATGGAGACACCATTTCCCCAATTTTGGCTAGGGTTTTTCACGATGAGAAAGCAACGGAGGGAGGAGAGAAAAGAGGGAACAGTGAAATGAGAGGGAGAGGGAGCGGTGATTGTAACCCTAGCCCTCTCTTTCTTTTTCCCAGCGAGAACCCCAAGAAACGTAGGGTTGCATTTTTTTAATGCGGTTTAATTGGGTTTCTGCCAAAACCTCCGGTGGAGGTTTTGGGGAGGAATTAGATTTTCTGTTTTAGATGACGTGGTACATGTTTTCTTTTTTCCCTTTTTTTTGGCCAACCAAACACTAGAAAGTAAAGAAACCTGACAAATTCTTTGAGGTTTCCTTCACATACTAGGGTTTCCTTCATTTTTATCGCAAACCAAACAGGCCCTAAGTGTCTTTGCTGATCCCAAGGCATTAACTTTTGGATTTATCTTGTAGGTGCCCTTAAGCTTTACTATATTTTTGTTTGTATCCTTATAATCTATATGCATGTGCTCCTCAGTACTTTCATATTTTGTTTGTGATTTCAGTTCAATGCTTGTTCATTTTATGATGCATTTCAATTTCTTGCAGAATTCATCTTGGTCTTTTTTTTCACCTTTTTCTCTTCATAGGATTCAATCATTCTAATGTTTCCATTTCACTCTTCTTTTTTTACTGCATTGAGAAATTTTTTATGCGATAGAATGTTTCTCATTATTTATGTCAACTTTGCATGGAGGTAGTATGTGGTCATCTTTAAAGATTTATTGCATAAGCTAGTTCCTTTTATTGTTTAATGGCTTATTATCACCAATGCTGTTGTTTCTCCCTATACTTTGTGTATATGCACTGTCAATAAATCTTTATTTGTCATTTGTTTCAATGCTAATTGCTCAAGGTGTAGCCCTACCTCTGCAAAATTTAATTTCTTATTTGGGATTTTTAAACCTTTTTGTCTTCATAAGCTCTTTTAATCCTTTTATGTTTCTTCTTCATATTGGATGTTAATTTTTAAATGTATTTATCCTTCTTTTTCATAAAGTAACATGTATTTCTACAGAGGTGGTACATTTACATTCACCTTCCAAATCTCTGCTTCTTACCCCCATGAGCCGCCTAAAGTAAAGTGCAAGACAAAGGTGACAGTCCACACCTTGGTTACTGTTTTTTCGTTTTAACCCATTTTCTCTTTACAAGCCTTTTTTAATTTTATTTTTATAGTTCTTCATAAGTTCATATTTCATCTGATGCAGGTGTATCATCCTAATATTGACCTTGAGGGCAATGTCTGCCTGAACATTCTGCGTGAAGACTGGAAGCCTGTTCTCAACATAAACACTGTTATTTATGGCCTGAACCTTCTTTTCACGGTATTTTTCTTATTGATGTTGTGTGCTAATGAATTTTCTGCTATAGTCGCCTTTGAAGTTATCTATTTGAAGTTATCTTTCTAATAAATTCATCTTTCTTATAGCCTGTTCTGACTTTACTCGTTTCAGCATAGACACTGATATCTTTAGCTTGATTTTTCTCTTACCTATTAATGCGGTTTTTGGTGATGGATTTTCTTCTGAGTCCTAATCTAAAGAAAACTTTTTATTTTTCTCTGCATTTTTATGGAATGTAATTAAGTTGTCGGCAACATGAAGTATTAATATCAGTCAATGACCTTTTTATTCAATTCCCAGAAAAAAAGATGTGCATTTGTTTGTTTGTGCCAAAGCTAGAAACTCTTATCATAATTCAGTGTTCAAAAATCAAAATGTGTTTGTTTTAAGTGGTAAAGAATATGTTTGTTGTTAAGAAGTTTTGAGGTGCTTCAACTGAGAGCAGATGAGGGGCAACATTTAAGATGGATCATGGATGTGCACGAGACAGAGCACTGGGCCGCCCAGTTAGAAGCATTAGGAGCTGACTCGATTGGGTGCAGGCAAAAAGCATGGATTGTCATTGAAAATGGCTATTACACTGGCTGATTTAACAGATGAAGATGGCCCTTAGTAGAGCTGAATGTAGAAAAAGGTTCCATGAACTCTTTGATAAAGGGTTGTTGCTGTTGTTGCATGCGACTAACTATGGATTTTATATGGAAACATACAGAAGCATGAAAATGGGAACCCCATATTTAAGGAAACTATATCGTTTTTCTTTTTTTTTAATTGAATCAAGTAAATAACAAACTATGAGTTTGACTTAGCAGTGGCAAATCCTTACTCGACCTGATATAAATGGGTATGGGTCATATGCGGGTCGACCCAAACTACCCATTTATTAATTGTGTTAGTTCAGGTCGACCCAAATTGACCCATGTAACCCATGTAATGACCCGTTTAGATGTGAATGGGTCAGTTGTAAATTTGTGATTGGATCAGGTGACTTAGGAACTCGATGGTCTCTTGGCGAAACAAACCTAGCCACTCCTTTCCCAATTTTCAAGGCAGCGGCAACGAGCAATGGTGCAGGAGTGTGTGACAGAGGAGACCATGGCGGTGATGCCGGAGCTTGAGACTCTTCCGAGGAGAGAGACGGGGGCGGGAATGGAAGAGGTGGAGCTCCGGCGGCGCGTTAACGGGGCTCGTGGGAGTGCGGAAGTGGAATGTTGACAGGTGAAAAGAAAGTGAGATTTTAGAGGGTAGGTGGTGAGCAGATCTTTGTCGTTTGCTGTGTGGCTTGTAAGATTAGTTGATGTTGGAAACCTTTTGCAGGCAGAACCCTCAAAGAATAGAGTTTAAGATGACTTTCCCAATTGCTTTGAGATGCTAATTGCTAGTAGTTTTCTGTGATTTTAGCTAGTTTTCTTACGAATGTTTTACTAATACAGAAGAGTTGTGAAAGAGTTATATATCATAAACTATTTATAAAGAGTTATATATCTTTGGATCAGTAAACTTAAAAATTTGTGGTCGCTGCGGTACTAATTCTTAAGATGTTACTCATGAGCATAATCTTAACATGAATGTTGATATGTATGTGTGTGTGTGTACACACACACACACACATATACATATATGGTATTGAGATACAGTGTATTTGGGTCACTTGAGTCGGGTTGGGTAACCCGTCTAATAAATGGGTAGGGTATCATGACCCGTTTATTAAACGGGCCGGGTTCGGGTCAAGCTTATATGGGTTGCCTTAAGTTCGACCCGACCCGACCCATTTGCCACCCCTAGTTTGACTGCATTAACGCTTAAACGATGATTTAACTTTACGCTCTGTGAGAGAGAGAGGGAGGGAAAGATTGACTTCGTTAAAATGATGATCCATCATTTACATAGCTAATGGATGAACAAACATAAAGAATACTTGATTTTTGGTCACAGGCATTTAAATGACGTAGATCAAGTTTAACGGAGTGAATTATAAAAACGGATGCGCCAACGGATGATCGAATCCAAATAGGAAGAATTTGACTCAAAATCCTTCCGAGAGCCTAGATCTCTAGCTGTCGCTATGTATGTATACGTAAATTTCTATACATATATGCCTATAATAGTTACGAGGCGACTAATTTAGCAAAAATGTGGTACTAAGAGATGGTAAAAGTGGAGGCATACCTATCTTTTACAACTGATTTGGTTATTATGGTGGGCATTTGGCATCCCTTGCTAGCTCATTTTGGTAAATCCTAAATGTGCCACATAAACATATTCCTACCATACAGATTATGTGGAAAGGTCCATTCAATTCGATTGGTGGGTGTGTTAGTTTCTTAACATGTGTTGATCAATCTAATGGATCATCCAACGATTGTGTTGATTGCTTCAGTATAGTATATGATGCTGACATGGTATGGATTTTTTTATGTTTACCTCGTGGTAGAAGAGTATATATTACTATGTATGTATGTATGTATATAAGTATGTCAATGTATGTATGTATGTACAAATGAGGACTGACGTTTCTCTCCATTCTCTTCACTGGTGTGTTGCTGATGTGGCACACTCCTAAGCCGTCAACTTTGATGTGGGTATGTTGATGATCTAGGCTAGAGACTATAGTAGTGACCTGCACTGGATGTGTACCACGTCATCAACACACTAGTCAAGAGCATGGAGGGACACATCAGTCTTTGTTTACTCTTACTCCTTAGCTCTCCCTCCCCGCCGACCTCTCCTCCCTGCTCTCTCTCTCCTTCGTCTCTTCTCTCGTTCGCTCCTATAAGAAGGCTATAGTGAAGGTA